CTTCGTCCGTCTCGCCGTGCACTGTTACCGGTACTGGCTCCGTCACGGGTAGTGATCCTGAACCCAGCACTGTGCTTACTTGCTGTCGGCGCTGCGACATTCTTACGCCGGCGCGACTGCAATCCTCTCTCCTCAGCAGGCCTACCTCTGCGCTCGTATCCTGCTGGAACTCAATCTCGGCCCCTTCACGAGGGCCTCACCGAAAATTTCGGCCGTTACTCGACCCCCCTGTCACGGTTCCCGCGACTCGTGGCTCCAGCGTCATGTCCTCTGTCGGCTCATGCCGACATTTCGCGCCCCCTGGACACTCACTCTGCACTACCTTCTCGACCGCGGCCGCTGGCATGCCGACCCCCGGTGCCGGCTGGCCCTTCTTCTTCTTGTCGGCCCTCAGCTCCTTGTTTACGAACTTTTGAATCGCCTTCAGGTAGTCGATCCTGGTTCTAGCTCCACGGACATTCAGCACTGCTTTGCCTTCTCCTACCTCCACGAACTCCTTCAGTCCTGAGTCCTCATCTGTGAGGTAGTGCCTCGGGCACATCCTCGCCCAGTGACCTTTCCGGCCGCACTTAGTGCACCTGTCCTTGCCGTGGGGGCAGTCATTCTTGCGGTGGTTCCTCATGCCACAGCTACCACACTTGTTGAACCGCGCTGCGGGGTGATGTTGTGGAGGCGGGTGGCTGAGGCGAGCATCTTCCCTACATCTCTCTGCCCTTCTTGCCACATCGCGTGCAGCACATTCTTTAGCTCGACGTGCGAGGCCTGATCGACGTGCGGGGCGGTTACTAGATGTCGGCAGCCTAAATGTTTGGCCACCGTCGTGTGGAATGCGCCCTTGAAGCTGGAGCCGCCGTCGGTGAGCACCGCTCTCGGCGTTCCAAACGCCACTGTGTGGAGTGGTTGAATGTGCGGAGGGTCTGAACTGTTTCGAGGCTCGGGCCTGCCCTCGCTAGCATGTACCGTGATCGATTATCACAGGACGTTCCAGCTCATAGACGCCGCCTCATGGGGCCGACGTGGTCGAGCGATACGACCGACGTCCATTGCGGCTGTCTGGCCAAGATTGCCAGTTGGGACTTGAAGTTGGTGGACGGGCGGCCTCTTCAACCGTGTGTGCAGATTAAGAATTCGGGGGTCGTTCTCTCGACGTCTTGAGCGCATCCGGACCAGTAGTACAGTGACTGACTGCGCTTCCGCGTTTTCCCCAGTCCGAAGTGCCCACTCGGTCCGTAGTGGAACGCGATTACCAACTTGTGCGTAGCTTACTGGGGACGAAGATTCTGCTCGTCTTAATGTGTACCCACCATAGTCCGCCGTAGTGAAGGCCGGTGACGTTGGGGGGTTCCCTTCCTCCTTGTCAGAGGTTTGGCGATTCTCGTGGCTGCCACTCTCCACGACATCTGGTCGATGAGTTTGTCGTCGTCGGCGTCATTGCCTGCGAACCTACTCAGCCAGTCTGCGATATGGTTGCGCTCTCCCGAGAGAAACTCAATCGTGAAGCCATAGTTACTGGGGGCGAGTGCCCAGCTGAAGACTTTGCCGGTGTCCACGTTTGTTAGGTAGCGGAGATTGTTGTGGTCCGTGCGCACGACGAGGTGCGCCAAGCTGACATAGTCGCGCCATCTCTATCGCCCACTTAACTGCGAACAGCTCCCTCTCTCGCGTGTCCCAGGTTGAACTTCCGACTAGCAAACTCTAACGGTACTTCTACGTCCTACTCCTAATTCGGAAGCGTCCGTCACACTGATGTAGGTTCTTGTGGGGGTCGGTGCGTGGAGAGTGACCCTGTTCTGTCTGCCGTCGCGTCTGAGTAGCGAGAGATGAACGGTCGCAGATAACCACACAGGTCTGGAGACCGCGTCTGCTCTTAGTGCTGCTACGATGGTTTGAACCACCTTCATCCGGACAGCCTCGAGTGTCTGTCGATCCCACCGGACCCGTAGAACATCAGCGCCCATAAATTCCCAGTTCCAAAAACCCTGTTTGAAGGAAGCTCAAAATAAACTCGATTAATCTCAGGAGAAAGACAAGCACAGTTCAGCCCACGGCCCCGTCGACACGTCACCAAGACCTGAACCAAAACTCCAGTTGGTAAACTCATCCACGACGTCATCCAAGGCCTCACCATTCGCTGTCGAAGTCATTTGATTCATTCCAGTCATCTGACTCATTCCAGTCTTATCAATTCGCATCATTGCTGGCAACAATTGTCCGGTGGTGGTGATCAGTGCCGTCGGCGAAGCCACATTCTTTCGCATACACGAGGCTTCATCCACCGTCTGATAATTCGCGGTAGGGCCGCAGAACGCAGCGCTTTAGCGGCGGCGGAGACCCCACAGTCGGGACGTACTGTGACGTACGGTCCGCTACTGTGGGCGCGGGCCGCTTTGTCGGGTTAGACCTTGGTGCCAATTGGCCAAAGTCGGGCGCCGAAACGGTACCCATTTGCCGCAGGTCTGCGCAGATCCGGGCAGCGAGGCTTTTGGGGTCTTGCACGTCCTGGGTCTTGGACCTTTGCACGTCATGGGTCATGGGGTCATCCACGTCTTGGGCCATGGGGTCATCCACGTGTTGGGCCATGGGGTCATCCGCGTCTTGGGCCATGGGGTCATCCGCGTCTTGGGCCATGGGGTCATCCAGGTCTTGGGACATGGGGTCATCCACGTCTTGGGTCACGGGGTCATCCACGTCTTGGGCCATGGGGTCATCCAGGTCTTGGGACATTATGTGTGGTGCGCGACGCAGGCACTCAAGGCTTTGTCCCGGCCTGTAGTGGAGCTTAGTAATGCAGAACAAGAGAAGCTCTTCGGAGGAGACGCCTGAGTGTTGCAGGAGGCAGGCCGTGATCCAGTGACGTCTCCGGTCGCATTCCTGCAAATACTTGGTTAGGGGTCGTTGAGTACTGCCGCTGACGGTGCCGTAAGGAAGCTTGAAGTAGGTGGAGGCGATAGCCGCTGGCTCGAGGAACTCCCAGCGGCAGTGTTGGAACCGTGCAGGGTGGACGGCGCGCAGCCTTTTCCACGCCGATTCTGGGAGCGATTGGCGCAGCGCTTCGTGTGCCTCGAAATCGTCCGAAAAAGTTTTGCGGCTCTTTGCCAAGTCGGTCATGGACCCCAATAACGGGACGTAGACCGTACCCGCTCCGGGTGCGGTGCGCGTCCAGCAGTGAGACTCGAACGCTTGCATCTCACACATGCGTTTGGTCGCAGCTGCCCAGAACTGCGATGGCGGGTACTGCTCCGCTTGTGAGCGCAGCACGGCGTAGTCTCCGCGAGCCAGCGGCGTCCAATACTGTCCCGCCCAAACGAGTTTGAGGTATGGGTCCCGCCGGCGAGGTCTGATCGCGTCGCGGGCAAATTCGGCGGCCGAGACCCTCGGGAGCCCGGCCAACACCTCCTGGAGGTCGGCCTTAGATTGCTGCACTTCTTCGGTCGTGCGGTCGCGCTGCAGTGCAATATGGTGTCGGCAGCCTTTGTGCAAAAGCGATTGCTGCTTACAGGTTGGAGCCGGACGGTACTTGAGTTGCGTGACGCAAAAGTTTATTAAACGGTCAGTCGAGACCTGCGACTGCTGCAGAAGACATGCGGTTCTCCATACCCGTCGTCGGTGCTGCGAAAAAAGCCTTTCGGCTACCACGCCACACGTAACAGCTTCGTCCACCGCGCCGTACGCATCCTTGTAGAACAGACAAATGATTGAGGCCAGTTCTACGTACGCTCCTTCACACGACTGCCGCAGCTGCCCAGGTTCGATGCCACGCAATCGCATCCACGCCGTTTCTGGGAGCGACTTGCGCAACGCTTCATGCGCCTCACAGTCGCTCCCAAATGCTCCCACCTTCCGGGCAAACTTCGTCATCAGTCCCAACGTCGGTATGTACACCGTCTGCCGTCCCCCCGGCTCCGTTCGCGTCCAAGGCGTCCAATCAAGTCCTCGAGCCTCACAAATCTGCTGCACCCAGTACGTCCTCCAGCGCAATCCTGTCGCCGTCCGCTCCAACTCCTTGAACGCACCCGGGTCCAAACGCCGCCAGTACCGACCCGCCCAAGCCAACTCCAGACCTCCCGACCCCACCGGCTCGAACGGCCGGCTCGCAAATTCTGCCGCCGAAACAGATAAGGTCTTCAGTCCGGCCAGCCTCTTCTTCAACAGAAGTATGTGTTCCCGCAACGGCTCCTTACACAACGTCTTCTTAGACAGGGGTTCCGGTTGCTTAGATTCCGGCTCCTTAGGCAGAGGTTCCGGTCGCTTAGGTTCCGGCTGATAAGTGTCCTTGATGAGGAAGACGTCCTTGGTGATTGTGGCGTCCCTCGTGAGGGTGGTGTCCTTGGTGAATGTGGCATCCTTCGTGAGGGTGGTGTCCTCGATGATGGGGGCATCCTCGATGATGGTGGCATCCTCGATGATGGTGGCGAGGTGGGCCTGTGGCAACAGGCACTGCAATCTGCCGAGCCGCATGGGCCGGTACCTGAGTTTCGTGACGCAAAACTCCACGAGCTCGTCGACGTTCGCTTCGGCGTGCTGCAGCAGGCAGCCCACGATCCAAATGGATCGTCGCGTCTTACTGAACTTTAGTTGGTCGAGACCTAAGAGGCCGCGGTTGACGGACCCGAAGGGCGACCTGAAGAAGACCGAGATGATGGCGGCTAGCTCCAAGTACGCCCAGCTACAGTGCTCGAAATCCGCAGCCCTCACGCCATGCAGCCGCTTCCACTGTGTCTCCGTCAAGGTCCCGTGCAGCGCCTTGTACGCGTCGTAGTCCGAGTTGAAGATGTGCGCCTTCGCCGCAAAATTTGTCATTAGCCCCGGCACGGGCACATACACTCTGGTCAAGAGTCCGGCAGCCGGGAGTCCGGCAGCCGGGAGTCCGGCAGCCGGAAGTCCGGCAGCCGCGGTCCTTTTCCAGGCCTTGGAACGGACGTCCCGGGCACGCAGCGCTGCGGTCTTGGACACCCAATAGCTCAACCAGTTAGTTCTCGCTGACTTAGTCGTGACCATCATCGCCTTGTGTTGCTCTTGGTCCAGCAGTGTCCAGTGGTGGCTGATCCAAGACTGACAGGCCATCGGGAGGTCCGCGACTGGTGGCACTCTTCTGCGAGTCGGACACTCAGGTCTGGATCCGTCAAACTCTTCCAGCGACACTGTCGGTAGTGTGGCCAGCTGCTCTTCTAGTCGCTTTATGTCGCCAAGTTGTGTTCTTTGTCCTGCGGCCGAGGCTTCCTCGGACGCGGCTTGGTCGGACGAGCCTTGGTGGTCGGCTGCGCGGCACACGGACGAGCTGTTCCGGGGCCCCTTCTCAAAGCAGCGAAGTTGCCCCGGTTCGAGAAGGCGGTACTTGAGCGTTTTGACGCAAAACTCGGCCAGTCGGGAGACAGAGACACCAGAGTGTTGCAGCAGACAGCCCGTGATCCAATGGTCGCGTTTGCGTTCCGAGTAGGTCCATACCATCCGCTGATTAACGAAGTCCGTGGCATCGGCGTCCAAAATACCGTAAGGCTTGTGGAAGAAGAGAGAAATGATTGCGCCGAGTTCCACGAACGCTAGCGAACACTTTTGCAAGTTCTCCATGTCGACGCCTCTCAGCTTCTGCCACGCCGGTTCCGGAATGGAGGTCCGCAGCGCACGGTGTGCCTCCCAGTTGCTGCCGAACATTTTCATTTCGAGCGCCAAGTCCGTCATACTCCCCAACAATGGGATGTAGACCGGCCGCCGCGCGCCTCCGGGCCCGAAAGTCCAAGGCGCGAGTTCAAGCTGGCCCTCTCGGAACTTGACCCACCGGTCACCCCAGTGGAAACGCCGCACGGATGGCGCCCCACCAACCACCGTCTTCAGCGCAGCGTACTCCATCTCATCCACGACCCGCCAAAACTCCTTCAACCAACAAAACTCAACTTCTTGTGCCGACTTACCCGCCCACCACCCCGCCAGTCCCACGTCTGGGGTCTTGTCTACGTCTGGGGTCTTGCCTACGTCTCCGCAAAGTGCAACCGACGTATCGCCGCATATGCTCAGCGCCCACGACACCAGATGCCCTTTACCCTTCCGGGGGCACTTCATTGTTATTTCGCTTGAGCCGGAATGCCGGTGTTCAAAATTCTTCGCAGAACTCGAAGACACCCGCAGAACTGCTGCCTGCGGGTGTCCGGGTGCGGAGAACCTTGGCTACAGCACTGAGTACGACGATATCTGAGATTATAACAATCTGAGACAACAACAATCCCTGTACTGAGTGACAACCTGGACTAAAAAGCTGTTGGGGTCAGAGTCTCAACATCTTCTCTGGACACTTATTTCATTACGCCCGGCTTCAGGTTTTGGTCTTGTCCACGTAACTAGTGGCACGCATGCACGGCCTCCAACGGACGTAAAAAT